GCAATCTCAGTTTTGGTATACCAGAAGGAACAACTGATTAGCACAACTGTATCACCTCAGCTAAAGTAGTACAATCAACAATAACAAGAGCATCTAATACAGCCTAGAAAATGACAAACTGTACCCCTGAATATGATAATTTTACCCTTAGGGGAGAAGATTTAAAAGGGGTTAGGGGGTAAAAAGACAGAAATAGAAGAAGAGGAAGAGATCAGAAGCAAAGCTGGAGGACAAAGCCTAGGAAACTGGTGAAGAAGATAGGTGGGGAAGAAAAAAGGAAAAAATAAAAACAAGAACATAACAAAACAACACCACCAACATAAAACTAGAAATCATGTTTAAACAATCAAGAAAAAAACAAAACAAGAACTAGAAAGGAGGAAAAAAAGAAAGAAAAAAAAGGGGAAAAAAATCCCAAAATGTCCAATTCAAGGTATATCTCTGCTGTCACTGTTAGCCTATGTGGACAAACAGAGTCCAGAGTCAAATTGATTAATCCCAGCAAGCTAGCTACAGTTTCATGGTGGGGCAGTGGATAATCCCATCCAGCCTGCCCCTTTAGTTCCTCTGAAGTTCAGATTGGTTTCTGGCTATGGGGCTAGAACTGGATTCCTTGAGCCTACAACAGTCTATGTGTCTCCTGCCAACTTGAACTCTTCTCCCTGGCCTCCTGCTGACTTGAACTTGGCACCCACACTGAGGCACCAAGAGCCACTAGATGGGGTCCACCCACAGCTGTTCTGAGATCCAAGCTCAGTTGGCCCCTCTCCAAGGCAGCTACTGGCCAATCACCCTCTCCTGGGTTAGGTCCGAACCCAGGTAAGATCCTACCTCTTTAATTTATTGAGGATGAAAAGTTTCTGTCTACTTGTCCCAGCTACCAGTTCTTTGGCATTGGCCTATAGGTTCTTCTTTCTTAAGACCCTTAGGCAATCTCAGTCTTGATATACTAGGAGGAACAACCCCACCAATTGCTGCAGTCCAGTGCATCCACTGCTCTGTTAGTAACCATGCTTCTGCAGTTTTGGCCCACAGTTCTTTCTCTGCTGCTCACCACTCCACCATCTTCCTGGAGGTCTTGCATATTCCTTTTATTTAGAGTTCTAATCATTCAGCTGTACATTTAATGAGAAAATCCTACGTTGTCAATACAACCTCACTGTTGATTCTGGTGGATTGTGGTGTTAACCCTCACAAGCCTACACGTGGCAGATACCTAAAGATCACAAGTGTGGTCATTGTGATCGTGAAGCTGATTGTGAAAACTTCTCTTACATGTCTTTCAGGTAATTTTACTGTCCAGTCCTGGCATCAACTCACAATTGAGAGTGTTCAGTGGGTCCAGCTAGAGGGTTGAGGTCCTCTCAGCTGGGAACCCAGGATGCCCAATTTCACTAGACTGTGTACACACACACTTTCTGTCACTGAGAAAAACAGGCATGTGTTTGTGCTCACCATTGAAAACTCCAGGTGTAGGAGGTGGACCTAAAAGATAACATTGTTCAAACCCCAACCCCCTGCCATTTTAAGTAGAGGACAAATGAACATGATTTCCAAAGATTTTTTTAAATATGTATGACAGCAAATAAATCAGCATGAATTAGTTATGAATCACCCTTCTATGTTCAAGTCCTTCATGGTTAAGATTTTTCTTCCCTTTTTAAAAAGTGACAATTTTTGAGCCTATGAAAAATTTTAAGTTGTAACAATTTTATGCCCTACATTTTTATTATTCTAAGGCAATGTGGTTGTCATCACATTCTTACTTCTTAAAACACATTGCAAGAGAGATGGTCAACAGATAAACAGACAGACAATAGGGTATTTATCCAAAATGGAGTAGTGTGATAGCCTGACTCCATTTTGTGCCTCATCACCGTTTCCCCTCCATTTCATGTAGAGTTGAGTGATTCCAGGTGGTTGCCTCCCCGTTCCCCCACCGTGGAAGTCCCCTTGGTTGATGCATGACAGACCACCACATCTCATTTGGTAGAGCAGTCTGCAGCTGTGTGTTATCTTTATGACCTTCCCGTTTGGTAGAGCAGTCTGCAACTATATGTTATCTTTATGACCTTGTGAAAAGAATACTCCAAAAATGTGTGCTATTTTGTTTCAACTAAACTGTGTGAAACTTCCCCTGACCCTCACTAACCTCTCTCCCTGAGCCTTCCCCAGCTAGAAGAAACCCACAAGTCGCTTAAAAGAAACTCAGGGCAGGGGCAGATTTAGCTCAGTGGTTTCACCACCTGCTGCGCAAGCGCAAGGAACCGGAGTTCGATCCCCGGTACCAAAAAACAACAAAAAACAAGGAGGGGCCGGTGATTTAGCTCAGTGGTTTTGACCCCTGCTGTGCAAGTCGATCCCCCATACCAAAAAAAAAACAAACCCACAAGCTGCTTTTGGAGTCAAGAGGTTTCAAGTGTGAGCCACTCTCGAAAACCAGCAATAAAAGGACTCAAATTTGGCTCAGAGTGTTGGCGATTTTCTATAATCTTTCACGATTTAGTATAACAGTAGTACTCTGCTATAAAGGATAAATTGAACCATTTGTAGGTAAATGGATGCACCTTGACGTTGTTGTTTCTTTTTTTTCTTTTTGTACCAGGGATCGAACTCAGGATCTTGAGCTTTCAAGGCAGGCGGCAGCACCACTAAGCTAAATCCCTGGCCCAATGGATGCACCTTGAGACCATGTTAAAGGAAATAAATCAGACACAGTTTAAATATCACATGATTTCTCTTGAGAAACTTAAAATGTAAATAAAGAGCAAAATAAAGGATAGATAATAGGAAGTAGAGAGATCTTTTTCAAATGGGAAGGGGAACAAGAGATGAAGGGGGGAGGGAAGGGGAAAAGGGTATTTTTAAAGGAATCAAAGAAAAAATATAGCTTTTTCAAATAGGAAGGTGGTCAAGACCTGGAGCAGGGAGTGATGGGAGGGGAAAGGGTCAAAAAGAATTAAGACATTATATACATGTACAAACTCCTCATGATAAATGTAATCATTATGTACTGAAACATGTTCTAATAAAAATATATTAAAAGGCTGAGGATTTAGCTCAATAGTTCTGCCACCTGCCTCGACAGCACAAGGTCCTCAGTTCAAGGTCCTCAGTTTGATCCCTGGTACCAAAAAAAAAAAAAAAAAAACAACAAAACATTAAAAAGTGAGACAGTTTAAAACTACCTTTTTTGTTGGACAAAGTATAAAAATATTTGAGAATCCAGTATTATTTAAAATAAATGGTACATGTCATATAAAATTTTTGGTTTCAAATTCTTAAAACAATTTGCCCTAAAATTTAAAAAAAATTTTTTTCCAGAATTATATGTTCAGAATTTTAATCTTTTAGAATTTGAACATTCAGAATTACAGCAATTTACTTCAGGAAAAGTAATTGCAAAGCTGCCAAATCTCTTTCTCTTTAAATTTATATAAAATAAACTGTTTAAAGTTGTGAAACACAAATGGAGTTTTCTTCTTATACATTAAATGGACTTTTAAATATATTGCTTATTGTGGACTTTATAAACACCATAGGCCTTAGATATATGTGTGTATAGTTTTTTAATAATTTGAGATGATCTGGGAATATTAAAGCCGAAAAGAATCCACATCGTGTTGATACTTTCATTTGCCTTCACTGTTATTTCTACATCTAAAAAGAGTATCAAATTATAGAAAAGTCCCCTCAAGTACTTGGATTTTCAAATACATAATTTTGCTAATATGTTCTTAATGCAATGACAGAATTATTTTTAGTATGATAACATTAGTACACATAACATTATTTTTAGTAAACAAATGTTTACTGTAAACATTTATTTTTAAATTAAAACTACAATTTGAAAGGTGGTAGGTCAAGCTAAGCAGCAGTTCAAAGTGAAATTTATATTTGCATTAAAAGAAGTATGAAAAGAATGGCAACTTATTCTAGTTTATAAAACTATTTTAAAGAACCTAAGTGAAATATTTTCTTAAAAAGAAATAATAAACAGAATGGATGACCACTTACAAGAACGCTGTAGAAGGGAGTTCTGTAGGACACAGAAGTTAGACTAGTGTTCAAGAATTAACCCCTTCCACCTTTAGAACAATTCTACAGTTCTCCCATCAATTTTATCATGAAAAAAAATTAGTCTTTGCCATTTCTCCCAGATTATGTCACATAGAAATAAAAATTTTAGCATCTTACTATTTCTACTTAAAATACATTCCCACTTCCAGAATATGCTGCAATTCATGGCTCTCTTCCTATTTGTTCCAGATTGAGACTCTGTCCCTATTTGTTTCTAAGTTTTATCATGCTTGCACGCTATTTTAGCCTATGTGCGCGCTTTCTTGGCAATGTTACCAACAATATATAAAATAAATTTTAAAGCATCCAACCAATGTTACATCTCAAATTCAGAAAAAAGCACCTGCATCTCAAGTCCCCCTTGTAAACTATAGTAAACTTATTTAACTTATTTAAATGCAAGTGGTTGGTATGCATACTGCTTGCTCAGTTCTCTCGAAATGGGGATTTATGTCTGTCATGAAAACAAAGTAGATTCAGGTTAAATAGTAATGTTAAGATGCTACACAATTATGATTGCATTTATAATGTAGCCTGGATTCTTGGTTCTGGACATACACACATAGAGTGATTGTTTTTATGTAGAAGACAATTTAGGCTAAAGATATGTACACATTTTCCAAAATATTTACCCACATATTTTCCTGGGATTGCTGGAAAGATAAACTATAAAAACAACTTCAAGACTTTGAAACTTCTAAAAACAGATGATTTCAAGAGTAACCAGTAAAAGGGCTCTCATTGTTACAGTTAGTTTTAAATGATGTTATCAGACTAGGTAAGTTATCTAATTATTATTTTCTATTTTTGAGATACTGGTTCATAAAGTATTAAATCTCTGTGAATCAAAGTGCTACTTACTGACAGCATGACAGTGAATTGCACTACAATCAGGTCTACAAAAGACACTTTTGAACATAATTGTTTTACATCTTTAATACTGACTTAAAAGGTCTGATACTCTTCAACTAGCTCAGTGTAGTTCAAAATAGAAAAGTAATAATTGTAGTTGGAACAGTTATTCTAAATCTAAATAGATAATTCCTATAGCGATATTTTACTCAGAACATATTTTCATTTCAAATATATGTAAAATTTCTCACAAGTCAGAATACAACACACATTCTGAACAGAAACTGTAGTGTTTAAGTCTCAATATTCAGTAAAACACTACATATTAGGGTGGTTTTGAGTATAAGTGATTTAAGTAAATGAGATACAATTTCCAACCTGCATTAAAGTGAAAAAATAATTTTTATGTGAAGTCTTAACCAAAATCAACCATTCAAATGCAAAATTATCATATTATGATACAAATAAAATTCCATTCAAAATACATTTATTAGAGATATGAATGCAGATATAACTACAAATTGAGAAACCCCTTTAGCTAGGGGGCAATGAGAGAGAAAAGCTTATCATGGATCAGGTCCTAATTTTTACTTCAATGATGATAGTGCTTATTTTGCTTATTGAAAAATGTTTCTTTTACTGGAGGGATACATCTGATTTTTTAAAGCTGAGGAGAATGTAGGGGCACTTTTATACAGTTACATATTGATTAGATATGAAATGAATCATTTTCTTTTCTGAATATAGCCAAATCTTTGTTTCAAATGATGACTTATCAATTTATCTTTGACAAATGATCCTCAGAAAGATAAATAAACCTTCTAACTCTACAAATATGTATGTACATATATGTATTGAGAGGTTATGTCCTTTCATCTGACCCATACTTCTGATTTAAAATGTAGCTAAGTTCTCTTAATAAAGAGCATTAATTTTATAACAAGTCATCTTTACTGCACTGTTCTCATTCTACTTTTATTTTTACATTATTTCTATAAATACACAAACAAAAATCTCCAATCTTGAAATCAACTTACAATGGCAGTCTGAGGCTTATTTCAACAACTTTTAAAATATTTTGTTAAAATGTAAAAACTCTGAAATTACAAACAAAAAAATTACAATTTTACAGTATATAGCTAATTTATTTTTCTAAAAAAATATTCTGAATTGTTTTTATGTAAGTAATCAAGTGTTATTTTTCAAATGAAAACTCCCATATAGGCTAAAAAAGGATATATGGTCTTGGCCCCATTTTAATTACACATTTTATTTATTATGCTGGTACTTCAACAATTTCAAAGATGTCATTGGGCAGAATCACATAGCCTCTCTCCGGAACATCATCCTTCTCCTTCTGGAAGTGCACCACCTCTTTTAATTTCTCAAGCTGTCGCTCCTGTCTTCTGCATCGCTGCTGGGCAGTCTTGAGCTTCTTCCTCAGCTTTTCAACTTGCTGTTCCAGCTGATGAATCCTTTTCCTCTGGTGCATTGTATCCTCCACAGTGTAGTTGTGGTCACAGAAAACTGAGAGATTATCAGGGGTCTGAAGAGGAGGCATTAGTAATCCGATGGCAGCATCAACCTGGGAAACGGGAGGTGTTAAAGGAGGTGGTGGAAGCTGTTCTCGTGGCTCCAGAAGATCTTCTTTCTAAAACAATAATACAGAGCATGTACAGAGAATTTATTAACTAAACAACAGCTTGAAAGAATCTTGTGGAATATCAGAAATATTAGGAACATTCCAAAATAAGATAATAGTTAAATAATTTTATTTAATTAAACAAGCACTTAAAATGGAGGAGAAAAAATAATTTGAGGGCCGGGGATTTAGCTTAGTGGTTTCACCGCCTGCTATGCAGATGGCAAGGACCAAGTTCAATCCCCAGTACCAAAAAGAAAAAATTTGAAATTAAACTGTCATTGAGAAAAGAAAAAGCAAAACTTGTCAATATACCAGTAAGAATACAGACTGCTCTTTAAACAAAATACAAAAATAAATCTGAGTTTCTTACCACGAGAATGTTTAATAAACTATACTTTGCAATTGAAAAACATGTATCACTGTTGCTGGGCACTGCAGTACATGCCAGCTACTCAGGCCACTGAGGCTGGAGGATTGCAAGTTTCAGGCTAGTCTGGGAAACACAGCCAGACCCTGTCTAAATAAATAAATAAACACATAGGGTTAGGGATGTAGCCCAGTAGTAGATCAGTTCAATCCCCAGTATCCAGAAAGAAAAAAAATCACTGTTAAAAGTGGTTATTTACAAGTGATAGGTTCCAGATGCTCTTGTTTTCTTACCCTGTCCCTGAGTTTTCCAAATTTTCTACAATGAACACATTAATTTTATAAACAGAAAACATTTAAAAACACATTACCTTGTCATGTGGCTCAGTGCAAAGAAATATAGTGGGTACAGCATTCTCTTTCAGTAACTTGTTGTTGCATTCCCTCTTAAAGCAGTCTGGAGTAAAATGCTCTGAACAAATGCTGCTGTACTTGGTGGGCTTAAAGTTTTTTCTTCTGACAGCTGCTTCCCATTGTTTACAAAGACTGGGTCGAGTAAGAGGAAATCTAAGAAAATATAATACAGTTCTCTGACATTGTTAAAAATGAATAAAAACACCCAAATTATTCAGTTAACTAAAGAATTATTGTACTGATGTTAGCATACTATGGAGTACTAAAGACTAGCTCCAGTTGTCTTTCTCATTCTTTAATGTTTAACTTTTTATATTGAGGATACTAAAAGGTTCAAATAAATATATACTATGGGATGAAGCTGTATTCTTATTTTTTACCAGTAATTTTCTGTGTGCTACACAGAAAAACAAATATGGCACATATACACATATGGCCTTGGGAAGAGACTTCTAGTTTTTTTTACTTGGAATCACTCCAACAAATGTAAATAGGCTAAATTTGAATTAACGGGGCTACTGCAGGACCCTTCCTTATTTCCAATAAAAACTCTTCTAACCTCTTTTGGTTTGCAACTTCATTCCTCAGTGTTTGCTGAACCACAAGCCCAGTACACATGGTATTATTTAGAAGCCCATCTGGGATATGAGATTAACAGGAGGTAAGCCTCAAATAGGGAGTTATTATTATCCTTTTCTTTTTGCAACATGTTTGTGATAAGTGTGATTCCATTCAGGAGATAGAGATTTGTGCTGTTATTTTATGGGAGAGCCCTATAGCCTTATGTCTCTACTGTCATTTTCCTGTGTGGGACCAGAATGACTCCATTTTGTCCAAAATGGAGCAGTCTCCTTTGTTCTCTCAAATTTGTGCTTGATCTGGGACAAAAGACATGATCCATAACTCAAGATTCCTATGCTCATTACTCAGCCATCTGTTTGCCCTAGAAACAAGTGTCCCGGGCCCACTATCTATAGGACAATCTGTTAACGTGCTGACTATCCACACAAGGTGGTCATGACCATGAGTCAAGATGTCTGCTGACCATCAGTACGTGACAGTAGACCACTAACCTTTGTCCTCATTTTTCTTGTAAAAACCTATATGTAATCCCCTTCAACCCCCAATGAGCCTAGCCAATCAAAATTCTACGCTTCATACTTGCTAAATGTTAACCAATCATATGGCTGCTAATGACTGAAGCTTGCTGTAATCTCAATAAAAACCCTGCTAATTTGGAACTCGGGGCTCTCAATCTTGATCCACTGTGTTGATGACAATTGAGAGTCCCTGCTTAAGCTTGAATAAATGACCCTCATGTGCTTACATCGGAAACGGCCTCCTGGTGGTCTTTGGGACTTCGTAATCTGGGCACAACATTTGGGGGCTCGTCCGGGATCCCAAGACCTTCAGGATCTCCGTGCCGGAGGGTCAAGGCTGGCTGGTGAGTGTGTTTTTTGTGTTTGTAAAGTCTGGGCCCATTTTCTGGGAAGGTCGGCAGATGGTCTAGGCGGATGCACTGTGAAGGCTGCCCACCCGGGATCCTGAAAGACGTTCCGGATTCCGCTGGTGGGGATGGAGTGCCCCATGAGTACGAGTCTGTAAGACTCCTGGGGGGACGGTGCAGGTCGCTCCCGCGGTACGGCGTGAGGCCGTCGTCCCATTTTCATTGCCTCCGATCAGGTGGAGGACGGTTTTGTCTTGCCTTGTGCTTTTCTGTTGTGTTTGTTTGTCTGTTTATTGTGTTGACTTGGACTGAAACGATGGGACAGACTGTGACTACCCCTCTTTCCCTCATGAAGGACCATTTCAAAGAAGTCAGGGAGAGCGCTCATAACCTAAGTTTAGAAATTAAAAAGACTAAGTTCATCACCCTCTGTAGCTCAGAATGGCCCACCCTTAGGGTAGGAAGGCCCCCTGAGGGAACTTTTGATTTACAGGTTGTACGCAGGGTTCATAAGGCCATCCTTCATCCTGACCAGGTTCCCTACATTGCCATTTGGGAATGTCTAATCTATAACCCACCCCCATGGGTTAAGCTCTTTTTGCCTCCACAGAAACAGCAGCCAAAGGTAATCCTGACAGCCTGTGAAAAGACTCCCAAAGGGTGTGACAACAAAAAGCAAACCGAGACCAAGCCGACTGTGCTGCTTTACCCAGTTCTTCAAGGAGGAACAGATGAAGATCTCCTCTTTCCCCCTCCCTACCACCCACACCCCACTCCTCCACTCCCGCCGGCGGGGACGGAGGAAAGAGGGCCAGTGGTGGCCAAGGCGGAGGCGCCTGCCCCAGTGGGCGCCACTGGAGGAGACGGCCCGGCCCAAAACACCCGTAACACCCGTAATCGCTGCCCGGCCTCACTGGCAGGGCCAACAGATTCCACTGTCCTCCCATTAAGGGTGGCTGGACCCCCTGATGAGCAGGCCCACTTGGGACTTCAACACAGCAGAAGGTAAGGAGAGGCTCCAGGTCTATCACCAGGCTCTGCTGGGAGGTCTCAAAGTGGCGGCATGGAAGCCCACCAATTTGGCTAAGGTAGGGGATGTACAACAAAAACTAGATGAAAGCCCTGCTGCTTTCTTAGAATTCAGGAAGCCTTCTGTAGGTATACTCCTATGGACTCAGAAGCAATTGAGACAAAGGCAGCTGTAATAATACATTTTGTCAACCAGGTGGGGCCAGACATTAAGAGAAAGTTACAGAAGGTAGACAGGTTAGGAGAGAAAAGTATTCAGGACTTAGTGACAGTGGCAGAGAAAGTGTATAACAATAGAGAAACCACAGAGGAGAAACGGAAAAAAGCTGATGACTGCCAGACCCGACACTTAGCTCGGATCCTTCTGGCTGCCACTGCGGGTGAACAAAAGGAACATGAATGTAGACTAAGAAAGATTGCGATGGAAGGAAAAAGCAAGGGGAGATGCAGAGAGCATCCCCAGTTAGGGAAAAATCAATGTGCTCATTGCAAAGAGAAAGGCCACTGGGCCAAGGATTGTCCCAAAAAGAAACAGCAG